TTAGACCGCTTCTCTCGACTTCTCGAACCAACTGAAGATCCTGGAACCTGGAGAGTTCGTACAGAGTAGTGATAGGTAGCGACATCTGGTGCTTCGTTGAGGCACGATTCGCACAATATTAAAGCGAGTAATTGCCTTTCATTAATACTCACTGTGGTCACAAGATAAAATATAAAAATGTTAAGTTCAAGTAAAACGTATTCTATGCATCTACTTAAAATAATACAAACCAACTTATCACCTGTGGTGCTTTAAAGGCTTATTGGAACCTTAAAGTATATTAACTGGGTTACAACCCCTGAAACTGTACACGAAGCTATGACACTAACTGCATCAAACAGAGCCTGACTAACTTTCAACACTTGCCAACCATGTTTACATCAGGCCTTTCAGGTTTGTTCTAATAAGTAGCAGCAGTGCCAACATTCAGTCTTTTGTTATGAATCATGCTGATTATGATCTTACTTCTCATTTTAATTCCCATTCTATGCAGTTTGACATAAAATCTACCTGCTTATTTACTAAACCTCCTGACTGACCAAGTATGTGACAAAATGAGACATTAAAAAAATCAACATAAAGCTAACTGTTGTAAAACTTAAATGTCACTTATCTTCTTTCAAATATGGGCAACTATATAAGTGTAAAATATTTAATGCTATTTGATAAATTGCATAAAGTTTATTTTATTCTCAAACTTATTAACAATTATGTTAATTAATTTATGTTTAGTAATAATGCGTACTACTTAGGGATCTATTTTATTTTTAGGATTGTATTACAAAAGTGAAATTCAGGCATAGATAATATCTTCAATTTAATTTATTCACTTCCCATTTGCTCATAGGTCCTTGATGGTTTTCATGAATGGTCCTTAAAGGTACTTAATTTCTGTGTGCAGAAATGTGTACGAACCCTGATAATTTAATAGGCTCTACAAGGAAATCACGGTATCCACATCAGACTTTTTTATTTTTGCACCTCTGCTAATTTAAGGCATTTTTAACACTCCACTGCTTGGCAGCATTTTTGTTCTCAGGGCAAGATGTTTGAATGATACAAGATTTTTATTTTCATTTTGGCTTATATACAGGTTTTGAATTTCATGTAAGTTTTTAGAGAAAAACATTCTCTCATCTTATACATTGATTGATTTATATTCTGAAATATACAGTGCCCATAAACATTCAAATAACAGTCTCTGGCATTTTTATTTGACTCAAATTTGTAATGTTAAAAAAAAAATATGGTTGAGGCATCAAAAGTATATGGAACAGCTAGAGGAATTCATAGGTATCCTGTGTTATTAATGTAAGAAGAGGATGAGCCACAGGGTTCTGTGTTGAGTGTTACACTATTTAGTTTGATAATAAATACCATTGTAAAGAAACATCCTCCAAATATACGTAACATTTGACATTTTGGTGACTTACAAATGGTAGGAGCTATAATAATTACAGATACAGTCAAAAGTCGTCAATCCGGACCTCAAAGCTACAAACTTTCTGCGCATCAACGCTAATACGTTACCGCTGCGAAGGCGTTAAGCGTGTGCGCATGCGCATAATGCGTTCACACATGCGCATTGAATGTATAACGGGCGGTATAGGCTAAGCTAAAATTATCTAATTATGTATTTCAGTTAATGTTGCAGATTGCGTTGTTCCTTAATCTTCGAACTGGATCCAGCTTATTATTTTTTGGCAGACTGTTATAGCAATTTTATAAAAGTAAGCTTGAACTTTTGATTATGTCAAATAGAATTTCTGATGCCAAAGTATGTTTCGATGTCCATGAAACAAAAAGTGGAATTGCTGCAAAAAATGGATAAAGACATATCCTTTGTTTCTCTAACCATTCCGAAATCTGTTTATCAATTTCACACTGCTCTGCGGGGGGAGAGGGAACGTCGCGGTGTGCAATGAACTGGAAGTTGATCTGTCAGCACTCCTTATTTTCAGGGCAGATGTTTTTATTTTTTTCAGCTTATAATTCCTTACTAAATGTAGTATTTCATCTCAATGTATTCCGTCTTTTATATGATTTAAATCAAATTCCTCGTCATTATAAATATCACGAGTACACATCAAATAGGTTTTCTGGTTGCAATTTTCTAATTTCGACTACGCATAATGTATGCTTTACGCATGCACGCATTGAAAGAAATGTTTAATAAAGTAAACAAATAAATATTAAGCTTTTTTTTTTGTAAATTTTGATACCATTTGAATCATAATTGCTCTTTATTTCATAAATTACGGTTTCATATTTTTAATTTTAGAATTTCTGCATGCCATCTTACCAGATTTAAATTGATGATATAATCCGGAAAAATCGATAATCTGGAATCGCCGAAGTCCTGACGAGTCCGGATTAAAGACTTTTGACTGTATGAGATAAGCAGAGAGACAATTTCAAATTGCCATCAATATATATTGCTTTGTTCTCTTTGTTTGCTTAAAACAAGTAAATTAATTATATGATAAATTCAAAAGAATATGAAGAATTAATGATTGAAACCAAAAGAATTGCAAGCTCGTGCTAGAAAAATTGCTAAACTGTCTTGTGCTTTCTTTACAAAATAGGATATTGCAGCAAAATTTTTATAAAATAAAATATAAAAACGATGATGATTAAAAGTAATTTTTAATATTTTTCTGAGATATAGGCTATCGAAAAAGTAACATTCCACGACCAGAAGAAGATGAAAGGATGCAAAAATATTAAGTTGTGAAATAAAAATAAACGATTTTCAAAATTTGATTAAAATGACTTTAAAAGGAAAACTGCATAGCAAAAATCCTAACAGTATAAAAAAGAGTTATTATGGAGTTCATTTTTATTAGTAGCACTGAAGCTGAATGAGCTTTTAGCTTAATAAACAGTATTTCCACAGAAGATCTTTTAGGGCTCATACACTTTTTAAAAGAATATGTTTTATTCACACTGAAATATATGTGCATTTTTATTTTGGCTTCTAATCTATTTAAAGGTATTTTAACTAAATGAATATACCATAAAAGTTTCTTTGTGGGTTTGCATTTTGACAAGGATTTCCAGCTTATTCAGCTACTGAAGTTTTCTCATGCTTTTTGCACTTCCCATGGAAACCAAGTCATTCATTCTGTTTTTAGTACCAATGTCAATTATATGGTACTTGTCTTCTGTAGTAGCTTGGCAACAAAAAACTGTATTGGCATAATTTGATCTTAAGGAAGGTGCGATTTATTGCCAGTGTTGTAAACAACCACAAAAATGAAACTGTCTCGGATAAACAATGAACCTGTAATTCATTCAGTATCTGTACAATAAAATTCATTCAGTATTCTATACAATCAAAGTTACTTATAAATACAGAGAAGGAATTTAATATACATTTTATATAGTATTTAATATAATATTGTCAACAGTTTATTTAAAATAATAACATATTTTCAACAGAACCTTCAGCTTAATGTACAGTAAGTATCAATTATTTTAGCAATTTATCTAAACTAACATATATAAAAAAAATTCCAAACAATTTTCTTCATTATTAAACATAACATAAAATTTTATACCAGAAATAGCAGTGATTACTTTTTCGCTTCCCAAAGTTTTGCAGAAAATTTTAAACTTCTAATTCAGCACTGTCAGTTGAAATATTGATTCATTATTACTAGATGCATCATCTTTAGTGAAAGTTTTCAAAGTTGAACTTCATACAACAATTAACACTGAGATGTTTTTTATAGTATCAAAATAATAGCTTAATGAATAAAAAGTGATGATGCTTATATTGAGGATATATTCTGTATAATATTTCTTTTGACTATTTTGGTTCATATTTTCTTTTAAATAAGCTCATATATTTATTGCAGCAAAAATCAGAATGTTACAAAATACCTGGATTGTGCAGCACCTATAATATAAATGGTGTTGCACAATTCAGGTATTTTTACTGAAGGCTTTTGATTATTTGATGTAAAATATCTATAACATATTTTATAGCAAACACCATTGCTCATAAGTCATTTTTGTTTTGTAAAATCTGTGTCAAAATTTAAAATATTTAGAATTCAGGATTTTTTTTTCTTTTGTTTTCTTTTCTTTAATATATATGATTAGCTCTGTTTCATTATTTTTGACTCAATAAGTGGTTTAATACATAATATAGCATGTCATGCCATGTCATTCATATTATGAAGTTCAGTTTGAAAAGATTTTATTGAAAATAGTGCTTCTTCTTATGAGGATGATTAATTGTTTTAGCTGAGGTTGTTCATTAATGGTTTTAAGTTTTCTGAAAATCTTAGCCCCATTCACAAGCAAGAGTAGATTTTTCTTTGAATTTGCCTGTTCAGGTGTCAAAGCAACACAAATAAATGGTTTGTTGAGTTGGAGACGGATTTTTCTTTCTATCAAGAACGGGATGAATCGGGAATTTTTCTTATATTACATTGTTCAGGCTGTATCCCACTAGTTACTCAACATCATAGCTTAAATTATATAACATCATAATTAAATTTATATTTTGTTAACTTAATCATAAGCTAATGATGTTGTTAAAGTAATAATTAAATTTTCCATTCTGTGGAATGTTATCAGAAGCTTTGATTTACAGTTAGAATTTTAAATTATTCAAGAACAGTTTATAAATTCATCTGACTGAAAGTGTTCTGAAGACTGACAGCATGATTGAAATTGTTCAAGAAGGGTTAATGAGAAAGAAAAATTCTTTTCATTCAAATGCATTAGAAGCACAAATATAAGTACAAACTGGGAAGATTATGAAGATATTTTTAAAGTATTCCATTCCTAAAAAGAATGTATTGCTATCCGAAGGGGGATATTTTCCCCATCAAGTAATATAAAAGGTTTGTGTTTTTCAGGCTTTGTTAATGAAACAATATAAAAGGCTTCAAGATATTGAAAAAAATTAATGAAATTGTTAGATTATTTAATTGCTATCACTCTGAGCATACAAATTATGTACAATTCATTGTTAGAGTCAGATAAACAAAATATTGCAGAAATTATTCTCCTTGAAATAAAAAAAAATTAATGAAACTTTTAAACTATAAAATACAGGGCATTTGAAGAAAGTACAAATAAATATATTTACAGAAATTTCATAAATGAAGGTATATGTTTTAAAAGTGGGAATTCAAGGTTTGGTTTTCTTTCAAAACAGTGAAGAAGCTGGAAGAAAATATGCTCCCGTGGAGCTGCTAAAGGGCAATAAATTTACTAATAACAGTTTAACATATTTGAAAGTGAATGCTTAATCATTTCTGCAATAAATTGTGAAATCATTAAATTAATTTTCTTTCCAAATACAGTGAAAAAATGTTGTAGAATTTTTGTTCATTAACTGAACTGAACTTTCCTTGAATTTTTCTGATAACGAAGACTGGTACACTTACGAAATGTTCATTACAACAAATGAATATTTCATTATATAGTGTAGAATCATGGCTGCTCTGTCACATTTTTGCCCGCTGGCAGCTGAATAATAAAGTCACTGAATGCTGGTAGTTTGATTTAGGAATCCCAGGGCTGGCTATGTGATCATTTTCATCGTTTTCTCCCATGTGAAATGCATATACAAGCCAGTTTCCCTTAGAAAGTCCTCTGTTAAAGCATTCCTTCTCTAAGACAGATAGTACTTGAGGGCTTTGCCATAATCAAACCAAAATAAACCTGTCCTTTATCTGGTGACACCAACCTTCTGAAGAGATGTAATGAGATATGTAACACTTTGTTTTAATTTTTGAATTCATTTGGTGTTTTTTCTTTTTGGTCTTATTTTATACTACTTTAGAGCAGGGATCTCAAAATGGCAAAGTATAGGCCACATGTCCCCCCCCCAAAGGAATTTATGTGGCCCACCAATACATTTCAGTTATTTGTTTTAATACAATACTCATTGATTTTGCTATAGCATAAGTTCATTGGGCAGTGGATTGCAATACAATGTTTATTAACAAAATAGAAAAGCACTAGTAAATATTTTATTAGTCATTACATTCCATTTGAGTTTGAATCTAGCACTGGCATACAGCCAAAAGTCAATAATCAAGACATACATAACAGTGCTCTCACAGACCTGCAAAAAAAAAAAAAAA